TAGTTCTCAGCTCCTCCTCCCATCCTTAGGAGTTGGCTTCCCCACCTGGCCAGAAGCGTGGGCACAGACCCCTTGGGCTGGGACCAGTTAAGATGACTCACCAAAGGGTGTGGGAGATTCTGGGCAGAACACCCAGGGGCCTGCGCCCTCCTCCAATCCACACAGAGCTTCTGAGGATTCTCTGCCCAAACCCCCAACCCCCAGCTAGGTGAGATTTCTGTCTCACCCACTTCCACAGTGCAGTTCTAAGGCCTGGGGGCGTGGAGGGGAGGTGGTCAAGCTCCAGACTTGAGCTTGGAAATCCAAGTCCCAACGCTTGTTCCTGAAAGCAGTCGTCTAAGAAAGGGTAGGAGGGAGGGGAGATTGAGGCTGGCTTCTTCACTCTGTCCCATCCCACAGTGTAAAATTGGGGAGGAGGAAGTTTCCTGGGCAGCTGGGCAAAGAAGAGGCAGGTGGCCTTGGAAGGCCTAAGGGCTGGGTTCATTTCCGGCTCCCGCTCAGAACCCAAATATTCCCTCTCCCTTAGCCTCTGGCAGGCCAGCTTCTGGATCCAGTCTTGTGGTTCCTGGCCCCTCCCTGTCCCAATATTCAGGGTTCCCAGGCGGCTTCCCACACCCCATCCCCCACGCTCTTTTGCACGTGCTAACTGGTTTATATTCCACAAAACCCACACACACCCCTACGGTGGAGGGATGGGAGGATTCTCTCCAACAACCCTTCTGGGGGGTGGGGTAGAGAGTGGAAGATTGGGAAAAAGAGGAAGAGGATGGAAGGGAAGAGGGCGGGGGAGGAGGCTGAGGCTGCAGGAAGGCCTGAGATGCAGGAAGCAGCTGGGAGTGGGGGGAGGCTTTGTGCCTGAGTTGTTCTCTGGGTCCTAGGGTCCACATTGTTCATCATTTTCTGGGATCTGTGGAGTGAAGCACTGCATCTGGACCTGTCATGGTCTAGACTAGAGGGTGGACCTCCACTTCCAGGCCCTGGCAGCTGAAGAGGGGTGGAGGGCAAGCCCAGGCCCTTGTGTACGTGGGGGGAGCATCAAAACAGCTTTCTGGGTTGCCAAGACGGAGGATGTGTAAGTCACTACCACCTTTCGCCCTGCTTTCCTGTATGCACTTGCACACAGTGGCCAGGATCCTTTAGATCAGAGACCCAAGCTACTGAAGTTTGGCCCCAGGCCTCCAGAATTCCTCCTCCAAAACGTCCTCTTTTCTGTTTGAGAGGCAGGAGTGTCCTACTCTGCCATGAAGACAAATTCTGCCCCCTCCCTTCCAGCCTGGGTGCAGAGCCTGCAGGTGATGGGACACCCTCTTCAGACTGCCAAAGGGCAAAGGCCAGCTTGAGTGATGAGGACCACCTCCTTTCTCCAATCCCCTTCCTCCTCCATCACAAGGCCAGGAACACTGGGCCAAGGTTTCACATCTTAGAGGATAGGGGCAAAAGTTTCCCTGTGGGAAATTGTTAAAATGCAGATTCCTGGGCCCAGCCGCTGAGGTTCTGCTTTACAAAGTTTGGGGAGGGCCCATAAATCTGAATTTAAAAAATTTTTAAAGCGCCGAGTGATTTTGATGCCGATGGCCTTGAACCATACTAGGGAGCTCAAAAGACCTTCAAGGAAATGATCCTTTGCCCCTCCACGCTAATCTCCCTTTACATTTGGGGTGGAGAGGGTTCTCACTGAGCCTACTGTGGCTGGATTGCCTCCCTCCAACATTTAGTGGGGATGCCGTTATGTGGGCTGTGATAAACGGCAGTCAGAGGTTAGGATGTAAGCATTGAAGAGGACTGCCCAGAGTCTGGGGTCAGCGGAAGGCTGTCGGCGAGGGACGGGGAGGGGATACATTTGGTGGAGGGGGAAGGGGAGGGCTCACAGACGCCGGCCCCGGAAATCCGACTCCTCTAGGACCCAGAGGTGCCAGTTCCCCAGTGGCGGCGGCGAGAAGGGCAGCCGCTTGGTCTCCGGCAGCCGCCGCTCGGGCAGAGCCAGAGAAAGACCGGAGCTCGGGGCGCGGGGGGGAGGGAGGGAGGGAGGGTGGCGCGGCGGCGGAACGGCCCGGGCCGGCCGAGCAGCCATGGGCGCCGGGGTGCCGGGCCCCCCGAGAGCCAAGGTCTCCTGCTGGGATTGGGGGCGTCCGGGCTGCCAGCCCCGCTGACACCGCCTCGGACGATGTGAGCCGGCGCCTCCGCCTCTGCTTCGCGGGGCTGGGCGCGCGGTCCAACCGGCCCCGCCGCCGCTTTTCTAATTTGGGTGGGGGCGACCGGACCAGGTCACTCGGGCTTTGGAAGAGGGGCTGGCTGTCTTTCGCAGCTTGACTGGGGGAGGCGACCCACACAGGGCGCTCGGAGATTTTTTTTTCCTTTTTTTTTTTTTTTTAAGAGGGGTTAACTGTCTTTGGCAGCTTGGTTTTGCTAGGAGCCTATAAAAGGCCTTTCGGGGTTTCTTTTTTCGGGGAGAGGGGGCGGTGGTCCCGACTTGGCCAGCCGCCTGTTGGAGGGGGGGAGCGGGAAGCGGGGGTATGCGAACCCGGCTCCCCCCACCATGATGAAGACGGAGCCGCGGGGGCCCGGGGGTCCCCTCCGGAGCGCTTCCCCACACCGCAGCGCCTACGAGGCAGGCATCCAGGCACTGAAGCCACCCGACGCGCCCGGGCCCGATGAGGCACCCAAGGCGGCCCACCACAAGAAATATGGCTCCAACGTCCACCGCATCAAAAGTATGTTTCTGCAGATGGGCACCACGGCGGGGCCGCCGGGCGAAGCGGGCGGCGGCGCGGGCCCTACTGAGGCCCCGAGGGCGCCCGAGCGCGGCGTGCGTTTGTCGCTGCCAAGGGCCAGCAGCCTGAACGAGAACGTGGATCATAGCGCCTTGCTCAAGCTGGGCACCAGCGTGTCCGAGCGCGTGAGCCGCTTCGACTCCAAGCCCGCGCCCTCCGCGCAGCCCGCGCCGCCGCCGCACCCGCCGTCCCGGCTACAGGAGACGCGGAAGCTGTTCGAACGGAGCGTCCCGGCGGCCGCGGGCGGCGACAAGGAGGCGGCGACGCGGCGGCTGCTAAGGCAGGAGCGCGCCGGCCTGCAGGACCGGAAGCTGGACGTCGTGGTGCGCTTCAACGGCAGCACCGAGGCTCTGGACAAGCTGGACGCCGACGCCGTATCGCCGACCGTCAGTCAGCTCAGCGCCGTCTTTGAGAAGGCGGATTCGCGGACCGGCCTTCACCGTGGGCCCGGGCTCCCCAGGGCCGTGGCCGCCGGGGCTCCTCAGGTCAACTCGAAGCTGGTCAGTAAGCGGTCCCGGGTGTTCCAGCCGCCGCCGCCACCGCCCGCCCCGTCGGGTGATGCCCCAGCGGAGAAAGAGCGCGGCCCCGGAGGGCAGCAGACCCCGCAGCACCGAGTGGCCCCCGCCCGGCCGCCCCCCAAGCCCCGGGAGGTGCGTAAGATTAAGCCGGTGGAGGTGGAGGAGAGCGGGGAGTCGGAGGCCGAGGCGGCACCAGGGGAGGTGATCCAGGCGGAGGTGACAGTTCACGCAGCCCTGGAGAATGGCAGCACCTTGGCAACCAGAGCCAGCCCCGCACTGGAGGAGCAGAAGGCCCAAGTGGCCCCCGAAGAGGAGGCCGCGACCGTGGCGGCGCCTGAGAGAGGGGTGGGTAATGGCCGGGCCCCGGACGTGGCCCCGGAGGAGGCTGATGAGTCCAAGAAGGAGGACTTTTCGGAAGCCGACTTGGTGGACGTGAGCGCCTACAGTGGGCTGGGGGAGGACTCTGGGGGCAGTGCCCTGGAGGAGGACGACGAAGACGACGAGGAAGATGGGGAGCCCCCCTACGAGCCGGAGTCGGGATGCGTGGAGATCCCCGGGCTTTCGGAGGAAGAGGACCCGGCCCCGAGCCGGAAGATCCATTTCAGCACGGCACCCATCCAAGTAAGCGAGCCCCCCTCCCCGCCCCCGCGCCGCCCCTGCCACGTGCACGCTGTCGCCCCCGCCTCGCCAGCCTAGTTTGGCAAGCTGAGTCAGCCCCTGCCACCCAGCCCCCTTCCCAGAAGTTACCACCCTGAGGGGGACGTGGGGGAGTTCCAGCTGTTTGTCAGAGGTGGAAGATTTTCAGTCCTGAGATGTGGGTGGCCTGCCCGGACCTGCCCTGCCCTCAGGTTCCTCTGCCTGCTGCCCCGCCCAGCGCTCGGCCGCACCCGTCCGACCCACGGGTCCTGGGACACCTGCTTTCCTTTCCTTTCCCATTCTTCCTCCAGAGGTATCAGAAGAAACGGCTGGGGTGGTGGGAAGGGCGTGTGTGACACTGTGTGTGTGTGTGTGTGTGTGTGTCCCTTTAGGAGAGCCTCCCCACATTGGTCCTTACTCCACTCTGGACAGGAGGGGTCAGGGGAGCCCCGAATCGTCCCCTGCTTTCCCCCTATATAGGAGCTGCATAGTGTGTGGGAGGGAGGAGCCGGGAACTTCCCAAAACGAAGGTGCAGGGGACGGTAGCCCTTGCTTCGTCTTCATCCTGTCTGTAGCCCCTACCCCAGCTTTGCAGAAGTGAAAGAGGGAAGCAGTTCTGTGAGGGTGAGCAGGGCTGGGGGCATGTGACTGGGCACTGGGGAAAGGAGGGTGCTGGGGCCCTGTTCCCTGGGGTCTGTGTTGGCCAGGTGGAGGTGTTGGGTTCCACAGGGAGCAGACACTTTGTGTGACCCCTTGAGAGTGTTAGGCCTTCAGCGGGGCTGGGAGGACACAGGGTGGGGCTGGGAACTCCCCCCTCCTCCCCCCCCCCACCGGGCCTGGCAGCAACCTGCATGCCTTTGCTGTTGGCTGCTCAATAGGACAGAATTTCATGGTCCAAATGTTCTTGCCACATTCTCTGGGTGCCCTGAAAGAGGGATGGGAGCTGCCTCCTTTGTGGATCTAAGTTTGACCCCCTCTCATCCC